TTTTGTCTTTAGATTTTTTTTTTTTGGGGGCGGTTGTTGGGGTTTTTTTGTTGTTGTTGTTTTTAAAATGTGGACAATTAATGCAAAATAAGACATGATGTCAAATCCCCTGTATTCTTTAAATGGTGGCCAGAAGAACCACTTTTACAGATGTACTCCATTTGCATTAAAGCTTAAGTTTGTTATAGTCTGATAGAACTTGGTCACATTCTACAAAACTTTGCAGCTGGCTGCTTGGATTATGTTTAGCAGCAAATTATATGAGATAGCCTGTAATTATTTGTTTTAAAATTAATACCAGTGAAACAACATAGGTAGAAATTTGCACAGGTACATACAAACACGCATTCATAGGACTGTAAATAACTAGATTTCACAGGCACCAAAATAAGTCTATTAACTGTCATGTTGTTCCTCCTTGTTTACACCTGTCTGAATTAAAATTTTGTGATTATCATGTTTTTTTTAGATGCGTAAAGGCTGAAACATTGTCATTTAACTAGCTTAAGTATATCAAACTGTATTACTTTTATACTGATTTTTGAAATAGAGAAATATTTCACCCTTTTTCTTCCTGTCCTCTCCTTTATGAAAAGACAATGCTTAGTTGGTCTTACAGCCAAACATATATACATATTTGTGTGAGGCTGTTTGTAAATACAAGTTTAGCTGATGCTGATATACTCATCCACAGATTATAATTTTTTAATTGTAATTAATTTGATGTCAAATATATAGCTAAACAGAAGAGACTGTCTTGAGTAGTTGAAACAAAGAGTAAATTTGATGAAGTAATGGTGTTACTTCTGAGTCTGACTGTTGTAAGAGAAATTTGATATGATACACACCCTTATGAGACACTGCTTGTTGAATGCATAATCTGACTTTCTGAACAGAGCTACCTTGCCAGTATTTCTACATTTTCCCTTTACCTTGCGCACACTGGAAGGAGGAAAGCTTCATTTTTCTTTAATTTTCAGTGACTCTAGTGGATCAAAATTCTTTGATCATCATCAGTCCTAGTGCTGTACTTCATGAAATTTATATGCAATTCCAGAAAGTGTGTTAGAAATTGACTAGGGAATTTATTAAACTTGCGTGTGTGGCAGATTCCCAAGTTTAATTTATGGTTTGCAGAAATATGGGCTATTCATTGTTGTCCATTTTCTACTGTTAGGAATTATGTGTGTGTGTGTGTGAGTGAATTTATCATTTAGTCCATACAGGAGGTAGGGTCAACACTGACTCATCCTGTAAAATATATACTTCAGGCTACTTTTATTTTGAAGCATCGCTGAAGTGATGTAAGACTACATGAACTTAGATCAAGAATGGATCAGTGGTCTCTGCTTCCTTTTAAATGTGAATTCTAGACAGCAGAATTGATAACAATGGCTTTCGCATCCTGCCCTTTTCCTCCTCTTTAGATCATGTTCTGTGTGTATGTATGTATGTGCATGTGTGTATTTATAGAAGTTTGTATGTCACTGTTCTCAAATATATTATTTCTGGCATTACTATGAAAGGATGATTGGACAGAAAAAGTGCTCAAGAGCCTCTAATAGATTTCAGTCCAGTCTGCCTGCTGCTCTGGTTTGCACTGAGTCAAGTATATTTTTAAGCTGATAATTGAAAACCTATCTTGTTCTTACAGAATGGCTTTGCTGTTGTAAGGCCCCCAGGCCATCATGCTGAAGAATCAACAGCCATGTAAGTACCAGGGAATATTGCCCATCTTGGAGCACTAAGGTTACTGGCAATCACCTGCATTGTGCATGTCTCTGAAGAACTGTAATTGTTAGCAGATGACAGAAAAGTCTTTCTGGGTACTCCCAGAAGCAGATTTATGGCCTCAGAGATCATATAGCATTTTTTAAAATGCTCTGAACATTATTTATAGCTGTTTTCCTGACTGATTTGCGTTCTTGTTTCTGTTCTTCTCTATTCCACAGGGGGTTCTGCTTTTTTAATTCGATTGCAATTACTGCCAAATACTTGAGAGACAAGCTAAATATAGGCAAGATATTGATTGTAGATCTGGTATGTATTCTTGGCAAGCATCACACTTTCAATGCATCTCGATAAAAGATAATGAATTTGCATTTATATGTCAGACTTTCCTGCTTTTAATACCTATAAGTAATAAAGGTGTACATTTCCTCTGATTTTGGGAACTCATTAAAGCCAGGATGGCAGTACTGAAGCCATAAACATCTATGTTTTGCTTTAATGGTGTTAACTGCAATTTAATGAGAAGAAGGTACAGATCAGGGCAACTTTTATGGTCCTTAAATGAATTGATACTTCCACCATTAAAATAACCATACAGAACCCAAGTTTACCTTTCCC